TTAGGCATTCTGGTCTAGTGGAGGGTGTCCCGGCCCATGGCAGGGGGGGTTTGAATGATCTTTTAGGTCCCTTCCAACTAAGGCCATTCTATGATTTGTTCTAAACCATGTTAAGTCATCCTAAGAAAGAGATCATGCTATACAGGAAAACACACACCAAGCAAAACCCTAATGGTTAGCACAAGTAGGAGATGACAGCACATGAGCAAAGCAAGAGACACCAGGGAGCATCCTGCTGCAGAAACAGTTTCACTTTGATCACTATCCTGCCTCTAGCTGTTGCCCATCTCCAGCACTTCTAAGGGAACCAAACTACACCTCTGGAAAGCACTTACATTTCAGGGAGAAGAGGAGACGTCTCCCTAGTCCTTGTAGGAACTGCCACAATCCCTGTAGCAAGAGATTCAATGTGCTATAAATTTGATCGAGGGGGAGGCAAGGGAAAAAGAAAAAAAGAATGAAGCAAAGCACACACAGACAACACTTTTCCTCACATACCAAAATGGGAAAAAAGATTTACAGGAAAGAAATAGTTCACTCAAGAAGTAAAATCCATCCCTCCATAGGACAGCTTTTCATTAATTAAATCAATGACACTTGTCCTCAACTGAGTCTGTTGTCACACTGTGAGTCAAGAGTACATTGACTTAGACACAGCACCACCTGAATTTGGGTGGACTACCTTGCAGATCGCAGCTGTCTCACATTTGATTTGCTCAAAGCAAAAGATAAAGTGTATGGCTGAGATGGAAGACCAGAGCATCTCAGAAATAAAACCTGTACTCTCACATCACTCAAGTGCACAGACACCTCAACTTTCTTTGTCCTCCCACTGCTGTGGCTATGTGTATCATTGGGTGACAACACTCATTTGTTCAGGATCAGCTTCCACAACCGTTTTTTAAATGGATACAGGAAGCAGCAAATCCCATCACCCACCAGCGAAACCACACCAAGTCAACATACAAGAATATGTACTAGAATACCTTTTAGAAGCTACAAGATGCATCAGAATAAAGTTGCACAAACTAACAAAAAAATCTAATAGAGATGAGCTGAGCAATAAATCCTGAATTATCAAGCCTATAGGTAGGTCTTAGACATTCCGACAATATTAAAATAATTTTCTATTTCAGATTTATAATCTGAAATGATCCATCAGAAGTTTTTGTAAGATAGTTAAATATACCTGAGACATTACAGTATGATGATTTTAAAGTCTGTATATACTCTTAAAAAATGTTTGTCAACACAGCAGTGTACATGGGTGATGTAAACAAGCAATTTCATACTGCACTCAGAAATGTAGATCTGGATTTTGTAGACCCAGGAATGCAGCCATGGACTCCAATTCCCTCGCTTCCCTTCTCACCTTCACCACAGATTTCATCCAGACTTCTCTTTTTTCCAGGAACTGAGTCTGGATATTTAAAATTTCATTCCAGATGAGTGGCTGTATAAAACAAATGCTCTTGCATTACAGTTTAAAACGCAGGACCATTAGCTCTCACTTAAAGTGGCCAAGTTTAAAACACTCCCAAACTTACACAGACACAACTTATAACTTGTTATAAAAAATGCAGATTACATGAGTGACTGAGGGCTTCACAGTCCTAGCCTGCTTCAGAGGTTTAAGGCTAGTACTAACTTAAAGGGGTTATTTGAATTCCCGGGGAAATGAGTGAAAAGCAAACGTGCACATTTGCAGCGAGTTTAGAATAAACTAATTCATGACAAAAAACCCAGCCAAAATAGAAGTTGGTGAATTACACGAGGAACACAAAAACACAGGTAAAAAGTTTGTAAATAAGCATTCGCAATTTCAATGAACAAATTAATTTGAATTCCAAAGTCCTGCTTTTTTTCACTATCGGGCAAGAAGGACCTATGATAACAATTCAAACTGCGAACATAATGATCATAAATGACTTTTCATGCAAACATGCTTTGTTGCTTCATGAACAGAAATATGTTGGGAATACAAAAATCTACAAAAGGCTGGAAAATCATAATCTTTCAAAACTGGAGTCTAAAAAAGAACAAATCATCTCTTTGTGCTGCAGTTTTTGGTTGTGGTTTTTTGGTTTGTTATTAATAGAAAGAATGTTATGTCTTTTGAATAAGCAATGCTGAAACGTAATGATTTAAAATTGAAACACTTGGAATAGGAAGACAGCATACGCCACTGCGACTTCCAGATCATTATGTTGGAAACTAACTGAACGGTATAAGGACAAATGGTTGCCAAAGATGCTGGTATGATTAAAGATATAAGTGGAATCCCGGGAATATTTTCTCCCAACAAAACCTCCAGAAGAGATTGAATAAGGATTGAGAGTTAAGCTGTTAGTTTTGAATTATGCATCAGATGTTGCTAGCACACAACCTTAAAACAATGTTACCTGATGTTTTTATTTCTGCTTCAAAAATTACACTAAAGATGGTATTAGAATTGAGCTAAACAGTGTACAGCATCTATTATAGAAAACCATGTTCTGAGGGATTTTTTTTTTAACTCTATTTGCTGAGGCACCACAATCACTGGCTAGAATTATCAGAATACTCAAAACTGGGAAGAAAATGCAGTTAAAAAAATCTGAATTTGATTTCATCTAT